TGACCCATACAATGTTTTTTTGGCTATTGCTACAAATATACACAAGTGACTTGAGACTTGGTTTTGTGGTCCAGGGTCACATTTAAAAAAAACAAATAAAAAAAAATTGTGTTTAAAAAAAATTACTAAAATTAAAACCGAAAATATAAAAATAAAAAATATGAGGCAAATATGTTTAATATGAAGCAAATTTCATTCCTGTTTATTAATATTTAATGTAATATTTGCTTTTAACATTCAGGAAGAGAATGACAATCGAGGACAGTCTCCAGCACCCCTGGATCAAGGTTCGAATGCTTCTCTTTTTCTCCCTCTTGAGTTTTGTCACCGTTTGAGCAGTGCTTGACTAGTTCCCATCCCATCCCCCCATACAGGTGATCAAGAGGCGTAACGTTCGACCTGAGGAGAGCGAGCGCAAGACAGATCGCAGGCGTCTGAAGACCACCCGACTGAAGGAGTACACCATCAAATCCCACTCCAGCATGCCTCCCAACAACACCTACATCAACTTCGAGCGCTTCTCGCAGGTCATGGAGGAGATCGCAGTGGCCGAGGATGGCCTGCGAGAGCTGGAGAAGAACCAGCGCTCCTGCGCTGAGGACGTGGCCGCTCTGCTCTCCATCTATGAGGAGAAAGAAAGCTGGTACAAAGAGGAGAATGAAAGCATCGCTGCAGATCTCAATCAGATCAAACAGGAGCTGCAGAGAGCACAAGCCCTGCGCAGACAGAGCCAGGAAGAGGCCCGAGCCACCATGCTGTCGGCCAATGCCCTCAAACGCAAGTTTGGCCGGTTGGAGAACCGCTATGAAGTGCTCGCTGAGCAGATGGTCTCCGAGGTGCGCTGGGTTGAAGAGCTGGTGCGCTCGATTTCAGCTGAAAATGACACTCGCAGCACCAGCATGGCTTGAGCTGCTCTGTTTGCTTTCTGAACGCAGTGACTATCTAATATCTTCGCTTGATAGAGTATTAAACTTTGCAATAAGCTTCATGTAAGCCTGTAGAGTTAATGTTACTCCTAGAACAAAAGCAATGCAAATGGGTATTTTCTATAAATCCTGAGTGAGGGTGTGCATGTGTTTTGCCTGTGCATTGCAGTATCCTTATGTGATGCCGGTCTATTACAGCTGAAGCAAGCATTTAGTATTTTTAATCGTCACCTCAAAAATATACATGCTGGATCAGTAGATAAAAAACTAGTTTATTTACAACTCTATAACAGCACTCAGAGCAAAGCATATTAATGTACATTGTGAGTAATGCACTACACAGTCCTCTATGAGGAATTGAAGAATCTCAAGATGCCAGTCGCTTTTGTTGCTCTGCATGTCCGCTTTTCCTATGCAAATCAAATCAAATTTTAATTTTATGATATGAGACAAAGGAAACGACTTCTACACTTATGATAGTCTTAAATGCTGTCTTGAATGATCTGTACAAATATTGAATATTCAGTAAGCTGCTTCTGTATGTATGAATATGAGAATTTAAAGGGATAGTTCACCTAAAAACGAAAGTTTGGCGTTTACTCATTCTCATAACATTCCAAATCCATGTGACTTATTTTCTTTTGTGGAAAGCAAAAGAAGATATTTTAAAAATCTTTTTTTTTCTTTGCCATAGTATATTGAAACATTTGTGTTCCACAGAAAAAGAAAGTTTTGAGGTTTGGAACAACATGAGGGTGAGTAAATTATGATAGAATTGTTTTTTGGGGGGGTGAACTATTGCTTAAACACTTTTCTTTTGTTCAAAACACACACTCCAAACATTCAATTTTTTTTGTATGACATTCCATATGTGAGTGAGCATCAGTATCTGGAAATGGGTGTGCTCATTTGTAAAGTCATAGCAATATTCATATCTGTTTGCTTACAGTATTGTACCTGTTATGTTGTTTTATTTACGACAAGTTTATATATACATCAGAAAAGTCCATTCAAATAAAATTATTGAAGAAGAATAGAGTTACAGTGTCTTTATTTGGTGTGTGTGGGCTAAGGAACGCACTGGTAGGTGAAGTATAGTGTTTTATAGCTCTGAGCATTTGTCAACCTCTTTATCAAATTTTTTCAACATGTCTAGAGATGTTAAAAGTCCCAGAGTTTTAATTAAACAAAAGATTTTTCCATCTCCATAGTAACATAATCGTGTTTTGCTACTCAGATAAACATTTAGATTTTTGGGGTCTTGTAAATGCAACTATTTACTTTGAAATTTCAAACCACAGGACATCTATGAATATTCTGAGAACTGTTAGCTTCCCATGAGATGTGTTGACATAAATCAACAGTGCATGTCTCTGTTTGGCTCTTTCACCTTCTGGTTTTTAGTTTTTTTTAATGTATGCTGTCATCAAAGGAATAATTAATATTTGTATAATTTTAAAATGAAAATTTTAATATTTTTTGCCATCATGTAATTTAAAAATGTATGACTTGCTTTATATTTTAAATAATGTTTCAACTGTTTTTGTCCATACAATGAAACTCAATGGGGTCCAAAAAATATTGAATGATAACTGTTAATTTTGTATTTTAAAAAGTCTTAATCCCACCATACTCATCTCATTACTGCATCATGGATTAATTATCACACTCATTTAGAGCCACGAGGACATGAAAGAAATGTATCCAGGGAAAAACTGGATGTTTTCTAAAACAGTAATGTATAATTATTTCTCAGAGCACTGATAAGGTCCCTAAAATAACATTGTAGATATGCTGATGTAGCTTCCACTCACAACCAGAGACACAGCACACAGCCCAGCCTCAGTAGCTGGTTCAACACTGATCCAGATAATCTTCCCTCCCTGTCAGACCAGACAGCAGAAGGTCGCTTTAGTTTGTGTCTTTCTCAGGATGGCCAGGTCCAGTTCAGCCCAGAACACCTGTAACTGGATTATGGCTCACCTGGCACTGTGGTCCATGGTCTCTTGGCTGGCGTTACACAATGCAGAGCAGCACAACAGGCCTTAATTGAGAAGATGGAGGGAGCCAAAGTGATGAAGGAAAAAGAGCAAGAGGTCTTGAAATCTGCACTCAAGATGAGTTTAGAGAACCAGACCAAACTGCAAGAAGAGCTGGGGAGTCTTCTAGAGAGCCAGAGGGAAAAGTGCATCTCTAACTGAGAGTCAGCGACTGCAGGTGAGTGTCAGAAAGTGATGCATATGTGTTGAATCTTTGCACTGAGTTGGTTGGTGCATTATGCACAATCCC